GTGTGCAAACTTGCGACTTCATACACGTAATTCTTTTTTGATTTTCTCGAACATGTCCCAGCGCTTTGAGCTGTTCTTAGCCAGAATTTGGTGCATAGTTAGGCACCTGATGTTGAAGCAACCAAGGGACGTGGCTTAGTGCTTACCACTAATGACTGGGTAGCCAAAGCCCGCATTTTTTTCGAATAAAGGTGGGTAGCGTTGGGCACACATACTGAAAATATGTACTTTGGGATGCTTTCTAAAATTTTCCGGGCTCATAATCCCCAAATTCCAGAAAAGGACTATCACCACGTCCTCGAAAGAAATTTTTTCACAGGGCTAATTTGAATTTCTTGAAAATCCTCAATTACTTTACAAGTGCAAGCAAACCACTTGCACCCAACTTTTGGATGTCGATAAATGTCCTAAACTCTTGAATGCGCTCACGACGACTCATAAATGCTTTGAGAATTGCCATGTTGCTTGACGACTGGAATCGGTGAGTATGCTCAAGACCTGATTCTGTCTATCCCCTAATTGCGTGACAGATAGAAGCAACTTTACCTTCTACTTCCAGAGTGTCGTTCGTAGAAGCAGTGTTAGGGGAAGGATCGGATGAACTTTCCACGCGGTCTGGCTCTGCACGATAGCATACTGATTCGCCATTGATTTCAGGCTCCTAAGATGTAATACAAGCGACTAAAAAGTTCCACTGGAAAAAGTACTTCCTGCTCTTCATCTATACTCCCTAGACGTGGGGCCGACTTAGAGCGGCATACAGGTGGCCGGAAATTCAGGCTTCCTGTATGCAGTAGTTTTTTCCGACGAGGACAACCAGCTGAACCATTTAGACGGGAGTTCTGGACCGCTAATTTCTCTCGTCTGTACTCCTAAAAAAAACATAGATAGAAGACTGAAGAAATTTGATGATCACGTCTTCGTCTTCTTTTCATGGCAAAGGAAGCTCTTCAATGCATAAACACGCACACGCCAAATTCCAAAAAAAGAGAATAAATTCCAGCAAGTTGACTAAAGCACCCCCC